GTTAAAACATTTTAAATATGGAACCGTGGTGATCCAATAGGCAATATATAGGTGTAGGGCAGGATATTGTATGATTTAGTACTTGATGATTGGACAAGCTCAATATTGGAGATAAATTATTCTTTAGCAAAAAAATTATTTTAAATGTCACTTAGGCTTGTGGTCCAGTGATAACACGACGCCAATTAAGTTTGGCATGATCCATCACTAATTGCTACAGTAACATTTTCCACAAAAGGGTGTGATCTTTTGGATGTGTTAGGCTTTATTACATTGGGTAATTTTTAATAGTTTACTAAATCTATGGATGCAACTTAAAGAGGGTAGAAAGAAAGAGAACTAAAATTGCAGAAAGTTGGTAGATTTGCAAAACTGTCTTTGAATAAAAGGTAAATGTATGAAACTAATCATCTATTTAGAAAATTAAAATCCCGAATTATACTGCTATTTTCTGAAATATCTTAAAATAATATATAAGTGCAATATCAAAGATCATTTAAATATCCATATATGCGTATAGATATTCAATTTTTTCTGGTAAGTGGCGGAAACACCATGTAGTAAAGAGTATAATCCGATATTCCTTCGCAAAAAAAAAAATCTCCTTGTATATACGTATGCAAATAATTATTTTTAAAAACAATATGTTTATGTATGATAAGCCGATATCACTTGCAAAAAATTATAAAGTAATATCATTTGGTACAAGAAGTAAAGCTTTAAAACCATCATCATTCCAAACCAAACTCATTACAAGCAAAATTATAAAACTTGGATAACTTTTTCTAAAGATTGAATGTTGGACATGTTTGGGATTTCAATAACGCTGCTAATTTACAGATAATTTTTTCAAGCAAACCTAAAACACTATATAGATGTGGTTGCTATCATCATCAACCACAAATATGATTATATATGTGAATAACTTATTCTTGCTCATTCTATCACACAGATAGTGTTGTCTTTCTTTTTCTGGACAAAAACAACATAGAAAGAAATTATTGGATCAAAATCAAGTTGGATAGATTCAAATATTTTTATTTTATTTTATCATTATTCAATGTTTAAAACTTATTTAACCTTAAGAGTTACATACATACACTTAATAATAATCACTTATATATGGGCTACGGTTAACTAATAAAAATTTATATACATTTATTTATTTATTTTCACTGTTGTAATGATATTTCTGTTGTAATAAAAATGTTTAATGATGATATATATATTTCTGAGTTATGGATCAAACATCAAATTAGACAACAATAGAGCGGTGTAAAGAAAAGTCATTTTTTTTGTACATCATAAATGGTGTATTTTACTCCATCAATATTGTTAAAGCTGCTGAAACTTTTGCAGTCTTCCTTCCGTAATATCAAATGTAAGAAAAGAAAGCATTTTACCAAATCATATTCAAATTCTAGTTATATGTTCTTTGGTATGTTGAATTGTATCACCATCTCATCTAATCGCTTAAGCTATTAGATAGGGAACACACTTTTATTCACTTAATTATATCTTTGAAATTGGCATTTGGATTTGAGAAACTAACAATATACTAGTCAGTGAGAAAGTAGGCAGTGGGGGAAAACCAATCTGTCAGTAATATTTAGAAGAACCAAACATAGAAGCACAGAACATTACTCAACTCGGAACAACAACAACAAAGGTAATATAACCCGTGTAATCTCACAAATGGGGTCTAGGGAGAGTACTATGTACGTAAACTTTACCCCTACCTTGTGAGGTAAAGAGGTTATTTCCGATAGACCCCGGCTCAAAGGAAAAAAAAACAAAGCAAGTTTGAGAAAAAAAAACAGTAATGAGAACGTTGGAAATACCGGAGAAAAGAAACAGTAACGACAACAAAACAATAAGATAACCGACGCCAAAGGAAACAACATGGATAGGACTTTGCATAACTCAGAACTGGCAAAATATGTTAAACAACCTGTGGCAACACTTCTTTCATCTATTCAGTAACATTCAACAACTACACAGCAACAAATCCCAAGCACAAAATTAAATAAAAAAAATAAAGTCAAAAGCTCTAGAAGTTCTCTATATTTTCTACTGACAAGACTAAAAAGATCCTAGAAAACATTGGAAACCTATTCAGTAATGTTTGAGTTGCGTAAACTACCACCTCTTTGTACAGAAAATTTCAGGTTTAGCTATTGGATGTATCTCAATCATTTTATCGCATTCTGTCTATCTTTAATTAACCAAATTGCAGAATGAGTGAGCTATATCAGGTATTACATATGGGAATAAGAAGTGTATGTGCTATATCAGGTTGTATGCTGGCAGATCTTCTATTCTTTGTATATCTTCTAATGATAATTCCCTCTCTAATTGCGTCCTTGTCGCTTGCATAACATCCTGAAGGAATAAAACAAAAAACTTTAATTAGTAGAATGTAGAGGAAAAGTAAGATACATATTGTGAAACATCCTTTTCTGTTTTAGATCTACAAAAATTATCATCATTTATAGATCATAGGACTAACTTTTATGCTAAACATATGACTGTTCCTCGGACAAACACAGTAATAAAAAATAATATTGAGTAAACATTGAGGTTCAGTTTTGCAAAATCATAAAGCTTTGGAGCCCTTCATTTCCTATATCAGTTTAGCAAAGGGAATTCTATATATACCGTGCTTATAGCTTGTTTGGCCAAGCTTCTAAAATCAACTTATTTTGAAAAGTAAAGTGTTTTTGGGGAGAAGTTACTTTTTCTGCTTCTCAAAATGAAGCTGTGTTTGAACTAAAGGACATGATTGTTTAATGCTTTCTCCTAAATGATAGTGTTCAATCAAAAAATAATCAGCATTATTATTTTATAAGAACAAGTGCGTTGAATTTAATCTTAATTCAGAAGCTCATGACATGTTCCTCATATGGTGAACACGTGTGAGAAATGGAAGGGTGAGAGAAGGAGCGGATGTAGGGAAATAGATAAGGTTTCACCCGAACCTAGTAACTTTAGCTCATATCTTGTGTATGGGTAAGAATTCCACCACTAAATTGGTACGAATAATAGATTTAGAACCCAGTAAATCAGATGACATGTGGACTTTGATAAAAATTCGAACTGAACTCATAAAGTTCAAATCCTGAATTCGCTTTTGGGCAAGTGTACGAGAGACATAGCCTAATGAGAGAGAGAGAGAGGTATACCTTAAACTCCATATATGAAGCACACATAGCCAGCCACTGTGCATCCATCATAGCGAACGCTATACAGTATAGAACATCAAATGCCTCATCATCCTCTGCAGTTTGTTTTAGAGAAAAAGTTCATCTAGAAAGCACCCTAATTCAGAAGTACTTAGGTTAATTTTCTGTCTAAATGACTGGCTTACCTCCTAATAGCTTAACGAAATTAATTCCCGGTAGACACTTTGGCTTCTCTGCAAGAGAAAAAGAAGAAAGTCAATGTCGGTTCAAAATGGACAGGAAAATATTAGCAAAATGTATAATTTGAGACAATCAAGAATCATAAAGAATAATATTTGAAAGCAGAGGAGATTGTTCTTAATTAGTATAAATCACTTAAAACGTTAAATCACCTGAGTATAAGTCAAGCATCTGAATCAACATGAATGTAACGTTAATCCCAGCGACTGCAAATGGATACTCCCACATTGCCCTCGATCCACTTCGCTTGAAAAGCAACCTATGAAAACAAGCCTTGATTTTGACTATATGCAATTAGTTATGACTTAATAAGCCGCCATCAGACTGTGAACACCTATATCTTCGCAAAACAGCTAAACATCATACCGGATATCTTGTTGCAAAAAACAGCAAATTCTCTAGTGAAATAAATCCACAACCCCTACAAAAAGATGATTTTTCAGATGAGAATAATATCTTAGACAACAAAAGTAAACTAAGTGCCGGAAGCTGGTGAGATATTTGAGATATGCATTCAAGCACAGATCTCGGTGTTATTTTATAGTGGAATCATTGCAACAAAGAGTCAAAACAACGCCAAGAATAATTTTTTCCTATTCCTTAGCTATCTACTGATTGTCATAGAAGTGCCACTAGACGAGGCGCTGCAAATGAATGGTAGAATACCTTTTTCTATATAGATGAAAAAGCAAACTGCTACGTTCTAATTATTACAATTGACCAACATAAATGAATCTCCTCTTACCAAAAAGTCTTACATATTTCTTCCCTTGGAAAAGTGACAAAAATATCAATGTATCTTGTCAAATCATTGAGAATATCAAAGGATGAAACTCACCTGAAGTCAGTCGATGGATTTGCTCCTTGCCAGCCCATATCTTTCCATTGCTCGGAGATCAAACTTTTTAGCTTCACATTTGGAAATGCTGCATTCCATAAAGCTTGAAGAGCTTCCTGAAAATTGGAGTTAGTTATGTGCTAAAATACAAGCTGTAACTAGAAAAAACACAAATAAGATTATAATTCAAAAGAGATGCCGGTACAGACAGAAACAAAATCCAGGAAGAAAATGCGGAAATAACTAAGGTTTCCAACTTTCTGCTATGCGGCAGATAAACTAAGTTACTACTCTGGTAGGTTAATAGATACTGATAAATATCATTAAGATTAAATGTGATAAAATAGTGATCTCAGTGTTTGCCATGAAATTAGAGAGGCAGAATCTTTTAGTGACTTCTTACAAGATTTCAGTATATTGAATTAATGAGAGTGCCATTTCAAGAACTATTGCATAGCTTGTTTTGTTTGAAATATCACTAGTTATGACACTATTATTCTGAAAAATACATCTATCTAGTATGGAACATTTTCATACGAAGTGCACATAAGTACGTATTTCTTAAAATGATATGTTGTTGATAAATTGTAAAACAAAAGGCCGATAACTTAGATCAATAAATGTAGTATTCCAAGTCCCTTATAAAACATCCCCTATACATGACCTTTGCAACTTGCGATTTCACTATCCCCGAGGGAATAGAATTTATAACTATGAACTGAAATTAACATGGAAATGAAAATAGAACAAGCATTTTGGAAATACTTGATGATCTATCCGTGTCTCATCAAAAGGTACCCCTAGCCGTTCTTGAAGCCTGCGTAATCTTTCTTCCTGGCAGAAGTTAAATATATATGAAAAAATCCACAATGTTATGAAGGTATAAACTACAAAGAGAAGTTAAAAAAAAAAAAAAAAAAACTTCCA